TCAACTGACTGAGCCATCCAGGCGCCCCCCAGATATTTCTTTTTTTTTAATGTTTATTTATTTTGAGAGAGAGAGAGAGAGAGAGTGCACACACGCACACACAAGTGGGAGAGGGAGAGAGAGAGAGAGAGAGAGAGAGAGGGAGAAAGAATCCCAAGCAGGTTCTGTGCTGCCAGCATAGAGCCTGACGCGGGGCTGGATCTCACCATTTGTGAGCCCATGACCTGAGCTGAAATCAGGAGTTAGGTGCTTAACTGACTTAGCCACCCAGGAGCCCAACTACCAAGTCTTTCTTAAGCCAACATTGGTCTTGAGCTTTAGACCATCTCCAGCTGTCTCTCACCCTTTGTGTGCCACAGATCTTTCATTATGTACTGGACTGGGTCTCCCCTTCTCTTCCAGTGGGTCATCAGAGCTCCCATGGACCTAAGGTGATGTTGCAACTAGAGATGGGCATCTTCCTCAACTCCTTCCTCTTTCTTTACTCTGTACCTAGTCAATGTCCAGGTCCTGTAATTAAGTCTCATCTCAGGCTGTTCCTTCTCACCTCTTCTGACACTGTTCTTGTCTAGACTGTCATTACTATCTCATGCCTGGGTTGATACTGCAGACTCCTAACTGGTCATCTTTCCTCCTGTTTTGCCCTCATTTATTTCCTATCCTGGCATAGTGATAATAGAATTTTCTTCTAAAACATGTATATGATTATATCACTTCCCCTGCTTAAGTATCTTAATGCTTCCTCATGGTCTTCAATGTGTGTCCCAAACTTTTAACATGGCTTACAAAACCCTTTGTAGGTTTTCATGGTCTGATTCTCCTTTCCCCCAACCACAGAACCTTTATACATACATGGCTTTAAAACCTTAAGAGAAGCTAGTTGTATGAACTATTACTCCAAAGGGCCAGGAGCCTTTGGTCCTTTGCACATCCTATTTTTGTTTCTTGGAATTGTCCTTTCTGCCTCCGTCCTGTTGGGTTTGTGCTTTTGTAACACTGTCCAGGAAAGCCTTTGTTGAGTCTGTAATTGTGGTCTGCCATAGCATTCTGTACTTAAACAGTGCTGCTTGTTAATCACACTGAATTATATTAGTTTGTAGATTTCCTTTTTCTACTTCATACCATTCAAGTGTGAGCTCTATGATAACTGGTATTGTTAGATACCCAGGGTGAGGGACTTAGCATAGGAACCATTCTCCAATTATTAAATGAATGAACATTTTAAGAAATGTTCTCTGTTTCTGTTTTCTTTTTGAATTGTCTGTGTCCTTTGCCCATGAAGCTGTTTGTTGTTGTTGTTGTTAAAACACTTTGAACATAAGCTCTTTTTTACATTAAGAACCATTCCTGTTAATGGCAGATTGTCTCATTTGATTGTTTGCCATTTGATTCAGATTGTAATTTTTGAGTTACAAAAGTTTGTAGATTATGAATTAAAAAATACATAATCTCGTGTTTTTTCTTTGTTAGAATTAATTTTGTTCTGTGAAATGAGGGTCTGAATCTTCCCTATTTAAATAAATTAAAAAAATTTTTTTTAATGTTTTATTTATTTTTGAGAGACAGAGTGTGAGTTGGGGAGGGGCAGAGAGAGAGGGAGACAGAGAATCTAAAGCTGGCTCCAGACTCTGAGCTGTCAGAAAGAGCCAGATTTGGGGCTTGAACCGTT